GAACCAGTGACAAAAATACTATTTATCATAAAGCAGCTGTTCTCTGCATAGATACAACTGCACAATTATCAATTTCTCTCATTTTTCTCTATACTGGTATATGTTAGAGTAAAATAAACATTGTTCTTTTACTCTGTGAACTACTGACAACTTGTTTTCAAAATTCAAAGCAAACATTTTGTGTTTATTTGCAGAAAATGATCAAACATCACCCATCATTCCTTTATCTGATTTCCAGGCTCCGCCTCCTCACCTGGTGCCAGTTTATCTGGACTGGATGTCAGCAGCAGTGGAGTGATGCTGGACTGCAGCGCTGCAGGCTGGTATCCAGAACCTGAGATGTTCTGGCTGGACGGAGACGGAAACATCATGTCTGCTGGAGCTGCAGAGAAAAGCACAGATCCTGATGGTGTTTACACTGTTAGCAGCAGAGTGACTGTAGAGAAGAGAAACAACAACAACTTTACCTGCAGAGTCCAGCAGAGAGACATCAACCAGAGCAGAGAGACACACATTCATGTTCCAGGTGGGAGAATAAAACACTTTAAACACTTTAACAGTTCAGATGTTGTAGTTTTTACAGGAAACTCTTCATGTTTCAGATGGTTTCTTCGTTCCTCAGCCTGACTGCAGCGTTTCTATCGGCTCTATTGTGGTTCTGGTTTTCACTCTTATTATTGGAGCTGCTACTTTCACCTGGAAATGGAGGCAAACTGAAATATGTGAGTTAATTATTAATGTGTTTTATTGTTCAATGAGACGTGATATTTATCCATGTATGTAAGATTTTTAAACAGACCCAGAATGTCTGACATATTTGTTTTGATAATCAGAAACTCATTGATCCAAACCATTAATCTTGTTTTTCTTGTTTCTGCAGCAAAGATGAAGCTAAAAGAAGAAGTGAATGAGGAGAAAAAGCAGCTCATGACAAAAGAAAAGGAGAATTTATCTGAGAAGAAATCAGAACTTGAGGAAGAGATAAAACATAGAAATGAGGATCAGAGAATCATTGATCAGCTGATTGAAGGATTAATGGAGATGTCAGAGGAACTGAAGGATCAGAGAAAACAACTCAGTGATGAAAGAGAGAAGACAGAGAGAATGATTGAGGAGGATGAGGAGAAGCTTAACTCAGTTATTGATGAAGAAAGAAACCAGACGGGGAGCGTGATGGAGAAGAGAGCAACAGGATACTTAAAACTGAAGGAAATCATGACAGAGAGTCTAGATAAACTGGATAAGAGGAAAAAAGATCATCAACATGTGGAGCTGATGACAGAGAAACTAATAGAGAAAACATGTAAAGAGGTTAAAATGCTGAAGGAGAGGAAACAGGAAATAGAGAAAAATGTAGAGGAAATTAAAAAAGAACTTGAAGAAATGAAGACATGAATGTGATTTTAGTACTGAGACAGAAACAGATTAAATTCAGTTTTTACATGATGTGAGGAAATAAAATTATCTGGTTTCAGTTCAGTTCAGTTCATTAGACTCAGTGGAGACCTTCAGACATTTTTCAGATTCAAAGCAAAAAACATTTTGAGGAAATAAAGCAGCAGAAATCTTTTCTACATGATGAATGAAGAACGTTTAAACTCGGCAGTCTTTATATTTTTACATGTCAGGACTGTTTTAGAAATGTCCTGGATGTGACTCATTAAATTAACTCCAACACCAACAGGAACAAATATTTTAACTGTAATGTAAATAACTGAATAGAGTAAATAATGTTTATAAGCCTCAGGACACAGAATAAAACATGACTGCTTTTTGTTTTGGTGATTGAAACAAAAAGTTTTGTCATTTTTGAGTTCATTTATCTTTACTTTAAATTTGGTCACTTATTTTAGAATGAACATCAAAATACCACTTTCACTGATTGTTACAGCAAATGTTTTGTGTTTTATTTTTGTTTTTATCTGTGTTTTATGAATATTACACAGTACTTTGGTGCAGTTATCTGTTTTTAAAGTGCTTTATAAATAAAATTAACAGTGAATGACCTTAAAGCTTTGATCCAACCATGAAGGTGACTTAATAAAAAACAAAAACAGGGAATTACTTTAATCACTAACAAATATTGACAATTTATTTAGATAATTTGGTATGTATAACAGTTTGAAGTATCTGAGAGAAAAATCATTTAAATGCATGAAAATTAAATTAAATGATGAATAAACTGAAACGTGTCTTTGTCATAAACTACATCAGTTAAAAAGTGAAAGTGACAGTTCAATCTTTTAAAAACAGGTCAGAAATTTTTTTATCTTTGTTTCATTTCAAGTCATTCAGTTTTCAAACAATAAAATCTGTAAAAATCTGTTAAAGAAACAGAAAAGATCCACATCCAGGAGCATTTAACATGTAAATATCAGCTAAACAGGAAGGATTTGTTTAAAATGAATCAAGAACAAATGATTTACTGAGCTAAATAAGTTTCTCTTTTAGTACAGGAAAAACATCAGCAAATATAAAAAACATTAATAGTCAAATATTTCCCACAGTGAATTGATGTTAGCAGATTGTAATAATATTCCAGTTTTTTACTTTATTTTCCCTGGGATTTAATGTTTTTGACCACAAGTTGTATCTTAATCCCAGTTAATTAACTGGCATTAATTAAAGTCACAGTTTAGTTTACTGGTAGTAAATTAAACTGAGTTGAATGAATTTCAGTTTCACAGAACCGACTCGTCTTCATGGATCAGATCTCCGTTTCCTCCTCTGACTGCCTGCTGCTCTCTGCCTCTGTGAGACACAAATGAAGCTCAAATTATCTTCATATCTGTTTCCTCTCAAAATAAGAAAACTAAACTCATCAGGCGGCAGCAGCAGATTTATTTCTGTAGTCTAAACACGACTTTCTAAATAAACACTGAGGACCAACGAGCTGCAGCCTGTGGTTTATAGTTTAACCTGAAGGTAAAAATATTTCCTCTGAGCTTCACAGACACAAAGATAATTATAAAACTGAACAAAATGTTAAATCAATGAGATCAATCAGTTTATGGTGTTCAAAGATATTGACTCAATATTTTATCCATACACTGAATAAATGGCAAGAAGTTATAAAAACAAGATAAACACAGTCGAGCTGTTTGTCATAAAGATACTTTATGATGCAATAAATTTCTGTAAAACCAATAAAATGTTTTACTGCATCAAAGTTTGACACATTCCTGAAAGCTTCATATTTCTTCAGACATTAATAATTTACCTCTGAGACAAAATGTATAATTTCTATAATGATTGTTGTACATTTTAAAATAGTTTATAGTAATACCTGTTTCGGTTCCTTTAGAATCTCCTGTTTGTTTTCCAGACACAAAAT